TGGTGAAGTCATTGCTGACTTCATTGATCATTTTTGATCGTCAATCATCAATTCATTTTGATCATTAATCATTCATGATTGACAGCATCAATCCCATGCTGGCTGGGGTTGATAGGGGTTGGAGTCCTACAACATGTTTAAAAAGACCAGGGTCATCACAGCCACTATACAGTTAGATATTGAAAACATGTTGTGTTCCATTGCCCACTATAGTGGCAATGAAAGGTCTTTGAGGAAAGACAGCTCACCTGGGCATTAAATTTCAGAGAATAGCAGGCTCCCGATATAACCAATTTTCAAAATTCCAAAATTTCAGTCAGACATTTTTAAATACAGTAAAGGGTGAAAATTGGTTAGATTCAAATATCAAACTTAATCATAACTATACAAGCTACTGTATGTTTTAGTCTGTTGTGTGAGTCTAATCATGATGATTCCTTAAAAGTTAATTATACCATGGCTTAATAAAATATGTGAACCCAAACTTCTTCCAAGATACCGGTATTGAAATCATAGAAAAACAAACTTGGCAAACTTAAATATTAAATTGAAATTATTAAAATAGATTAACAATTAAAATTTTGAATTGTTTTCATATTTGGGGTATGAAAGTATCCAGCAGACCTACACTCTTTTCGTTTTCTGGAAAGTTCCCCAAGCGCTGGGATAGGATAAGGTTGGAGCCTAAGCAGGGTGGATAAAAATCAATGGTTTTTTTAAAAAAATCAAAAAAATCAGATTTTTTAAATTTAAATTGGATTTTTTTTATTTAAATCAGATTTTTTTATTCAAATCAGATTTTTTTTATTTTTATTGAATTTATTTTAATAAAAAACTTTTGGGGTAAAAATCTATCGTAAGATAGTTTTCTATTTAAGATACATAAATAATTTAGTTTATTCAGCATGAAATGGAGCTTAGTTATGTAGCACAAGGCTGTATATTTTGCACTGGGACTATCGGTAAGTCAACAGTGAGTCAAAGGAGTAGCAGAGATGACAGTTGCTCTTTAAAAATTATGATTTAAATCGAGTTGATTTAAATCAAGTCTTTTTACTAGTGATTTAAATCATGATTTAAATCGACTCGATTTAAATCAAATCCACCTGAGCCTAAGGATTGAATTATTGTGAGCTGTCCAGAGTTGTATTTTACGAGATAGGTGGCCATATAATTTTTAAGGAAATAAATTTCATAAAAGCTGCAAGAATAAGGCCAAATGTATTCCACTATCTAGGAACAAGGCAGGAAAAAACTCTCTTGTATGCCAGATAATGGAGCCTCCAATAGCAGGGGTAGTTTTTGAAGGGCCTCTCCTGTAGATCTTAATGCCTGAGCAGGTTCATAATGGGAAAGGCAGTCAGATAGTCAGATTCTAAAGTTTAACAACATATGATCAGTAAATAGCTGGCAGATCTTTCAGGTCAACCTTTATTCCTTCTACAATTCAGTAAATTGTTTGATGCATTTTTTTCCATTCGCAACTTCCATAAATTTAAAAAAATAGTCTGTGTAACAAGGGTATGAATAACTATTGCAAAATATCACCAACTTTCTGGAGTTGTAATTGAGTAAACAGGTATCTTGTCAGAGCTTCCAGTCATGAATCCAGTGTCAAAATGAAGATTAGGGGCAACTCCTAGACACTTTTTTTTTTGTGGACAAATAATAACTTGATCTTAGAAAGCTGAGTCTCCATCCCAGTGTCCAATTGTTTTATTAACTAACAGCATTCTGTCTTGTACATCATTGAATTTAGGCAACATTCCAGGGTCTTTGGAACAGAATTATAAGGAACAGTAGAAAGACCACTCTTTATGTTATAGCAATCTAAGCTACTGCTGTCTCATATTAGAATATCATACTTGAAGAACATTAATATTAAAACACTTTAACAATGGATCTTTTAAAAATACAGAAGAACAATATAACTTAATGAAATCATTGAATTTCTGAAGAACTAATAAATAATAATTAGTTATTATTAACTAATAAAGATAAAAAAAGTATAATTAAATTTATTTTTTATCAACATCATTCACTATGTACTCTGTTTCCCCCAAAATAAGACATCCCCTCATAATAAGCCCAATCGGGCTTTTGAGCACATGGCAATAAGGCCAAGCACTTATTTCAGGGTTCAAAAAAATATAAGACAGGGTCTTATTTTCGGGGAAACACAGTACCTTTCTATATCTTTCCCTCGTAAATTTTACCTACTTCAGCTACTTCATACATGACCTAATAATCTCATAAATTCAATTCATCTAAGACTTTTCAACCTTTCCCATCTATAGTATAGTATAGTATAGTTCCTCCCAGATCAGACTTATTTCACACTGGTTATTCAACTTTGCATTGCATTCAACATTTATTCAGTTTCCATTCATTCTTGGTTCTATTCTAATCTTAGTTACACACCTTTCTCAAATACTCCATTCTCACTGCTTTCAACTTTTATGTTTGCCCTGACATAATTCATTTTATCCAACAAATGGGCAAAAGCTAGATAAATATTATTTTTTGGCACATAGCACTCTTCACATTAGGTCAGCAGCCCCCAACGTTTTGGCCATCAGGGGCCGGTTCCGTGGAGAGAGGTTTTCCATGGACCGGAAGGAGCATAGTTTCGTGTGCTACCTGTATCCTTCAGATGGAGCTTTGCTAATTTGCACAGCCCGGTTTCTGGCCTGCCGCGGACCGGTGCCAGTCCATGGACCAGGGGTTGGGGACCCCTGCATTAGATAACATGCTACCAAACACCTTTCTGCCAGCATTTATACATCTGAAAAGGTTTTAATAAACATTCTTCTAAGGTACACAAATTTTCTACTTGCTTTAGTTTTTTTCCATTTATGTATAACTTGTAATTTGTTCATAGCTGCCTTGATTTTCTGATACATTAATTTTTAGATCCACTCCCCTTGCAACATCATACTTTTCTGCAAGAACTTAAATCCTTAGCCACAACATGGTAATGTCTCCACACAAAGAATACACATGCATTTATGTCCCCACCTTGAATGGCAGTAATGGCAGTATTTCTTATTCATAAATGAATTTACATGAATTTGCACAATATATATATAAAACAGCAGAGGGAGCATCACACACCCTTGTCTTTTTTCCTGCTGAATGTTGAACCTTTTGCTAAGCATTCCATTTATGCATGCTTTACTTCCATCTTATACTGATTTTAACTCAATCAACCTTTCATTTAATATTTATGTGCATCATTCTATAGTCCAAATTTGTTCAATCTCTCACATGCTTTTTCTAAATCAAAAAAATGTACAATAAACTTTCACACATTTGTACATTTTTTCCATGTCCTGAAGAATAAAAATTTAATCAGTACACCAGCTTTCTGGCATAAAGCCACACAGTACTGTCCAAATTTTGCTCCCTGTTAACTCTTTCGGTCAGAACCAAACATTTTCTCAGGCATGTTTAATTAATCCCTCATACTTTTTCATTTGCTCTTGTTATCGTTCCTATTATACAGAGAAAGAATAATGATATCCTTCTAATCATCAGGCAGAGATGCAATCTTCACACATGTGAGAAACCACATAGTCACTTCATAAGCAAACCATGTCCACATTTCAACACTTTTCCAGTTATGCCATGTATATATGCAACCTGATCATTTTTCAGCTTTCTCTCAGCATTTATGACTGCATTCATTTTTTTTTTCTTCAAACCAATAATTGTAGCATTTGTTTCCATTCGAGTCTTGGGCAAATTGCTGTCACTACCATACTGATCTCTAAAATCCCCCTTCCTAGCATCTGTTCACTTCACATAGAAGCTCCTTGTTTATCCCCACTCTCTCAGTTTCAAAACAGTTTTTAATTTCCATACAAATTGCTCTGCATTTCTTATGTCTCTTAGTTATTTCTTGCTATGTTGGATTCTATTCTGTGAAAAGATATTTTCCTTCATGTATAATGCAAAATAGAAATTGAATTTCTGTGTGAGGTTTGATTTTTAATGCTGGAAGTAGTACATTTGAAATAAAGTTGTTTGAGAATTGAGATGTGGACAAGTAGGTGGCATGCAATATTCCAGCTTTTCTTCTTTCCAGCACACATCTCAGGCTAAACCTGACATTTTTTTTAAATGTCAAGAACATACGATCAACAAGCATATGCCTATTTAAAAACAAATGTTGCTTTCCAAGAAGTGGCATTAAAAAGATTTATAGGATTGCTTTGCGTCTGCCTCATTTGTTGGCCCTCAAGTACCTGCAGTGAAGAAGACCTAACAGTTACAGCTGATGTTAACCATTTACAATACTGTGCATTTTATTTTTTTTTCTCAACAAGAACCTAATGAAAAATTAAGTCAAATGTATTCACTAGTGAACTAAATTGCTGTATTAAGATTTAAATTCAATCTGGGTCTCCCATTCTAACATTTTAACCACTATACCATGCTTATCAACATGCTCATCAAGGGCTGGACTGTTATATGATAATAGGGATCTTCAGGGTTTGTGCTCTTAAATACTAAAGGCAACTGAACAAGAAGTTTGGATACAATACTATTTCCATTTACAAAGATGGAGCGAATGACTATCATTGGTTGGGGAAAATCAGATGAGAAAAAATTGGAAGCAGATTTTAAAAAAAGGAAACTAGAATCTGGTGGGAAATTATTTTGGGTTGGTTAGAGAAAAGGAAACATTAACTATTTTGTTTTTAAGACATACATGTAGGGGAATAATTTAGTTGCAATGAAATTGATTTTAGCAGATCAGAGTATGTATGTCAAGCTTTCAGTACGTTAGGCTTATGGTGGGAAGCACCCACCAAAACAGAAAAAGGAAAGAAGGACATTCTGCCTCCATCATATCTGATAATATCACTGCTATGTAATAAAATTAAAAGAATAAAACCTTCAAAAATGAAATTCCCAGATGTGCAGAAAGCTTACTCACCTTTACCTTGAAATGACTGGCAGCAGATTTCAACAGAACAAATCTTGCCAATACTTACCTGTGTTGTTGGTTACCGAACATTGTAGTAAATGCTTTTCTGCCAAGTAATGTTGCCACTGCATTATGACAGCTATAATGTTTGTCCCAACTTTTTCTTCCTTCCTTTTAATTTTAAATGGTCAGTATTTTAATTCTTGCCTAGCTCCCTAGGAGATAGTACAATATCTGTGATTCTATGTAGTTGTGGAAAACTATCCATTCATTAATCAGGACCTTGGCACAAAGTTCCTCCCTTTCATGTTTTTTCTTAAACTAAAATACAATAGCATGAGACTCAGAGTGCACTTTCTTCAATAAGTGGGTGTGAATGCGCCCGCAGGCACCTCCTTGTGACTGCCTGGACAAGTCTCCGCAGTTTACTTGACAAGGTTTCAAAAGTGGTTTGCCATTGCCGCCTTCCAAGAGCTAAGAGAAAGTGACTGGCCCAAGATCACTCAGCTGGTTCCATATCTAAGGCAGGATTGAAACTCACAATCCAGATTCTAGTATGTCGCCTTAACACTGACACCAACCTTTTTATGCTGGATCATTTACTATAATTAGTGACTGATATGGCGGTTTACAGTTGCACCTTAGTTTTCTTGATTTCAGTGGTTTTTATCATATACTGTATATATCTAACTTTGCATAGGATGAGTAGTTAGCAGAATACCCCAAAATGGCATACATTTAAAGTTAAAGTAAACAGTAACAGAGTTGGAAGGGACCTTGGAGGTCATCTAGTCCAACCCCGTGCTCACGCAGGACACCTGTACGAGGGATTTGAACCGCCGAGCTGCCAACCTTTCTGATCGACATCCTAGTCAGGCTAACATTTATCTCTGCTGTTTTGAAAGAAAGTTCTGGATGAGTCATTGCTTCCCAGTGAGAAATGGGGTGGGAGGGTAGTATATATGAAGTTAGACCATTTGGAACAACAGCCATTCTTCCCTTGTGGCTGTCTGGAAAGGCTGTTCACTGTGAAATTCATAAAGGCTTAATCTGGTTAAAAAATTGTGGGGTGGGAGGGAATTGCTTCCAGTAAGGATAGTTGCTATCATGGTTTGTGTAGAATACAGGTTTGATTTAAATCTGAAACCATCCCCCATGAAGGATTTGGGATTTAGGGTTGAAGTTTGGGCCCCTGATGTTGCCAGACCATTGGCAGAGGCCCCAGAAAAGAAAGAAGAACATTCAAGAATCACTGCTACAACATTATATCTGCCACTATCACCCCACCACTTAATTTACCATTGTTTTTGGTAGCCACCTGTCATGGAGGCTTCTTAGTTGATTAGTGTTTTGGGCTCAATTTATGCCTCTGCACCTTGAAAATATAGACATAACACATGGATGAATTTAAGCTACTACATGTCTTTTAGATTCAGCTCTCTCTCGGTTGATATTTGCCAGGAGTGACATCTGCCATTGAGGAAGGTGTTTTGCTTGATAATTAATACCCCTCTCAACTAGATAGAGGGATGCGGTGGCTCAGTGGCTAAGACGCTGAGCTTGCCGATCGAAAGGTTGGCAGTTCAGCGGTTCAAATCCCTAGTGCCACGTAACGGGGTGAGCTCCCATTACTTGTCCTAGCTTTTGCCAACCTAGCAATTCAAAAGCACGTAAAAAATGCAAGTAGAAAAATAGGGACCACTTTGGTGGGAAGGTAACAGCGTTCCGTGTGCCTTCAGCGTTTAGTCATGCCGGCCACATGACCACAGAGACGTCTTCTGACAGCACTGGCTCTTCGGCTTTGAAACAGAGATGAGCACTGCCCCCTAGAGTTGGGAACAACTAGCACATATGTGCGAGGGGAACCTTTACCTAACTAGATAGACTGTCACAGTTTACCATGAAGGAGATAGTGGTATTTACAGTTCTTGACCAATGTACCTTTTACCAAGAAAACTAAAGAGATAGGCAATAAAAATGATTGATGATATAAAGCCAGATGATGGGCCACTCAGGCCAGATGGCACTAAACATGTTACTTAGCTTAGCTGAGTATTAGTGATGTTTATGAAGTGGCTAGATTAAAGCCTTTGGGACATTTAGTTGCTGATGTTGTCATTTCAGAAATGAAAATCCAAAAGCTGCAAAGAAAGAATTACAGTGGAAGAAGCATGGAATGAAAGAAGCATGAATATGGGAAAGCCCAGCACAGTGAAAGATGAAATGAATCAACCTCATGTTGTCCTCTTACGTTTCAGTGAATTGAAATAGATTAGAATTGGATTCTTTCAGTCACAAGATTACACTATTTACTACAATGGTAAAGAAAGCATGGCATGGTTTTCATAATCAGGAAAGCTATAGCAAGAATAATACTTATAGTAACAGTATACAGTAACAGAGTTGGAATCCAACCTCCTGCTCAAGCAAGAGACTCTATACCAGGGTTGTCAAACTGGATTTCTTTGAGGGCCGGATCAGCATTGTAGTTCTCTGCAGGCTGGTGGAGGGGACCGGGGGGGAGGGGAGACGGGCAGGCACCTCCTGCAGCACTTTACTGGCTAAAACGGGGTGCAGGGGGCCGCATGTAGGCCCCCCCCGTGCCTCATTTTCGGGCTCCCCGGCCTCCAGCAGCGCTCTGCTGGCCAAAAATGGACCACACGGAGGCCTCCCAAGGCCTCTGCACAGCCCATTTTTGGTTGGCAGAGTGCTGCAAGAGGCCTGGGAGGCCAAAAATGGGCTGCGGGGGACCCACATGCAGCCTGTTTTGGCTGGCAGAGGCACCGCAGGCTGGTCCTTTGATATTTTCAGGCTGGCCGTGCGGGCCGGATTTAAGCACCCCGCAGGCCAGATCGGGCCCACAGGCCTTGAGTTTGACACCCATGCTCTATACCATTCTGGAGAAATGGCTGTCCAGTCTCTTCTTTAAAACCTCCACCCATAACTTCTGGAGGCAAGCTGTTCCACTGATTAATTGTTCTCATTGTCAGGAAATTTCTCCCTCGTTCTAGGTTGGATCTCTCTTTGATAAATTTCCATCCATTCCTGCCCTCAGGTTCTCTGAAAAATAGGCTGCCTTGGAAACATACAATCAATTACCGAATCATATCAGTTAGATTTCAAGGACTATCATTTAATATGATGACTACTGTACTTTGTGCTTTAACTGCTGACACAGAAAAGGTTCATGACTCCTGAGTATTATGATGAAGTTCAATCTGAAATTGAAATGGTATGTTGGAAAGACCTTTGGAGACAGGATGAAGACATGTAGCTTAGGGAACATTCAGATAATAGAATATCAGTTTAGAAAATATAAGAAACAGTGTTACAATACATATAAGTCCTTAGTTTATGTTAATTTGTTCAGCAAAAATTCCAAGTTATATCAACACTGAAAAAAATGGACATTTGACTGGTTTCAAAATTCCAGCCATTGCAGTACTTGCAATCAAGTGATTGCCATTTGTAATCTTCCCTGCCAGCTTTGCATGCAGCCTGTGCCAACCCTCCCACTACTCATATGTAGCCTGTGCCCGCCCATCCCTAGCTTCCACCGACTTTTGCAAAGCATGTGCTGGTCCTTTCAAGGCCTCCCTCTCCCCCAAGTCACATGTGGCCTGCACCAGCCCTCCCAGGGTTTTTCCCACCCTCCTACAGCATCCCCACAGCCTTACTTGGGACTCCCCACATCTTTGCTTTTAATGACCCATCTCTCTTAGGAGAATGCTGGGATTACCACTGCTAAACAATGCAGTCATTTAATACCATGCTTTAAGATCACATCATATAACAATGGCAATCCCAGTCCTAATTACTGTCCTAACCAGAAGACTAATTATAACATCAAAGATGGAAATAGATACAGAAAAATAAGGAAAGCCTTCTAAAAGATTTCTGAATTTAGAAAGAGGTTCCAACCTCAAATTTGCACATTAAAAGATGTCATCGAAAAGATAACAGAGTCCAAGAACATCAAACAAAACAAATGGAAGAATACTGAAATTCTGTACAGAATTTCAATGATTATTGATAAAGAATGAGATATGGGAAGAAGAGATTTTTAGGTGAAATTCTAGAGAAGGTATTTAGTTACTGAAAATGTTTATATTGTTTGGGGGGGGGAATAATCTTTTATATATATATTTTTTTATTTATTTACCGGTACCTTTTTCTGTCTCTTTGCACCCCTCTTTTTCTTTCTTTTCATATATTTTATTTAGTTGGACTAGTCTTTTATCTTTGTACTCATATACTTTAATAAAATTATAAAAAGACCAAGGAGCACAGTGGAAAAAAATGGAACTAAGATTAAATATAAAATCAAACTAATGACGCTAAACACAGCAAACAGTCTTAGAATTGACAATGAAGATATTTATTTAAATATATTAATCTAAATAATTTATATGGCTGTCCCATTTCACAATGGTGATTGGATAGCATACAAAGATTAAAATATAACAATTGAAACTATAATTCATAGCACGCCGGGTAAATGACATTTTCCAGTCATAAAATCTCATTCACAACAGAGCTAGCCTAACCTCCTGGCCTGAACATCTGGGGAAACAGCCAGGTCTACAGAGCCTTACAAGAAACAATTGGATTAGAGCCATCCTGATCTCTAGAGGGAATGCTGTTCTACAAGGCAGGTGCTATCTCAGAGAGTGGATAGCTCCTGACTCCAACAAAATGCCATTGTTTAATAGAAGGGACTCAAAGCATGTGTTAGATCTGGTGGGTCAAGCAGAAACAATAGAAGGAGGTGGCACTCATTCCTCCACTCTGCTGCCAACCAGCACTATACAGCTAAAAATCAGTACTTTGAATCACACCTAAAAGTCTGTTGGGACTTAGTGCAGCTGTAGAGCAGTGGTTTTAATGGGCATCAGAGCCATAAAAAAAAAGTACTGTGGCATTCTAGACCGGCTGCAGCTTCTGAATTCTCTTCAAGGGCAGCGTGATCTAAGCAGTTTTAAACAATTTTTGTAAGGACTATTAATAATTGTTGATTTTAAGAAAATGTCTGTGTTATGTTTTTGGGACCTTTGCAATCCATCTTTTAAAAATCATTCTTCTAGAATAATGTTTCTATGCCTCAAACTCATTTGCTTTTAAAACTGATATTTACAATTACACATCCTTCACTGTGCTTTCTTCCTTTGATCCTGCCCCCAAACTAAAATGTGATATGTGACATTACAATCATTCACCTTGGCAACAAGCTCTGAGTTACCTATTTCAGTTTAATTAAAAAGCATATATCAAATATTAGGTAATTTAAATATTTTTAATTTTAAGGAAAA